CTCCCTCACCCTTCAACAGTCCTGTATGGCCAGTGAGAATGCCTAACGGTGAATGGAGGCTAACTGTGGACTACCGTGGCCTGAATGAAGTGACACCAGCAATGAGTGCTGCAGTGCCGGACATGCTCGAGCTCCAGTATGAACTGGAGTTGAAGGCAGCCAAGTGGTACGCCACAATTGACACTGCTAACGTGTTCTTCTGTATTCTGATAGCGCCAGAGTGCAGGCCACAGTTTGCGTTCACTTGGAGAGGCATCCAGTACACCTGGAATCGATTGCCCCAGGGGTGGAACCACAGTTCCACCATTTGCCATGGACTGGTCCATACTGCACTGGAGAAAGGTGGGGCTCCAGAACAGCTGCAGTATATTGATGACATCATTGTATGGGGGGACACAGCCGAGGAAGTCTTTGAGAAAGGGAAGAAGATAATTGAAATCCTCCTGAAGGCCGGCTTTGCCATTAAGCAAAAGAAAGTCAAGGGGCCTGCAAGGGAAATTCAATTCCTAGGGATAAAATGGCAAGATGGGCATCGCCACATCCCAATGGAGGTGAGAAACAAGATCATAGCCATGGTCCCACCAACCTCTAAAAAGGAGACTCAGTCTTTCCTGGGCGCTGTGGGGTCTTGGAGGATGCACATCCCGAACTACAGCCTGATTGTGAGCCCTCTCTACCACATAACCCATAAGAAGAACGCTTCTGAATGGGGCCCTGAGCAACAACAATCCTTTGAACAGATTAAACGAGAGATTGCCCAAGCAGTAGCCCTCGGGCCAGTCTGGGAAGGGCAGGAGGTTAAGAACATGCTCTACACCGCAGCCAGAGAGAATGGCCCTACCTGGAGCCTCTGGCAGAGAGCACCTGGGGAGACCTGAGGCCGAGCTCTAGGCTTTTGGAGCCAGGGATACAAAGGCTCTGAAGCTAATTATACACCAACTGAGAAGGAGATACTGGCAGCGTACAAAGGAGTTTGGGCTGACTCAGAAGTGGTCGGCACTGAAACACAGCTCCTCCTGGCACCCCGACTGCCGGTGCTGGGGTGGATGTTCAAAGGAAAAGCCTCCTCCACGCATCATGCAACCGATGCCTCGTGGAGTAAATGGGTTGCGTTGATAACACAACAGGCTCAAATAGGGAACCCCAGCCACACAGGGATATTAGAGGTGATTACGAACTGGCCAGAGAGCAAAGATTCTGGGATATCACCAGAGCAGGAGGTGACACGTGCTAAGGAGGCCCCACCATATAACGAGCTGACGGATGAGGAGAAGTGATATGCCCTGTTCACTGATGGGTCTCGTTGTATTGTGGGAAAACATTGACGGTGGAAGACTGCTGTGTGGAGTCCCACATGACGGGTCACTGAAGCAGCTGAGGGACAGGGTGAATCGAGCCAGTTCGCAGAGGTGAAAGCCATCCAGCTTGCTTTGGATATTGCTGAGCAGGAAAAGTGGCCAAGGCTCTACCTCTACACTGACTCGTGGGCAGTGGCAAATACCCTGTGGAAATGGTTGCAGCAATGGAAACATAGCAACTGGCAACATAGGGGTAAAAACATCTGGGCTGCTGAAGTATGGCAGGACATTGCAGCCCAGGTGGAAAACCTCGCTGTGAAGGTGCGCCATGTGGATGCCCATGTACTCAAGAGTCAGGCCACTGATGAACATCGACACAACCAGCAGGCAGACCAAGCTGCTAAGATCAGAGTGGCTCATTTGGACTTGGACTGGCAGCGCAAAGGTGAACTGCTCATAGCCCGGTGGGCCCATGAGACCTTGGGTCACCAAGGTAGAGATGCAACTTACAGGGGGGCTCGAGATTGAGGGGTGGACCTCGCCCTTGACACCTTTGCAGAAATCATCCACGGATTTGAGACGTGTGCTGCAATCAAACAGGCCAAGCCGGTGAAGCCCCAGCGAAATGGAGAGCGATGGCTGAAATATAGATATGGAGAGGCCTGGCAGATCGACTACATCACACTGCCACAGACCCGCCAAAGCAAGTGCCACGTGCTCACAATGGTGGAAGTAACCACTGGAAGGCTGGAAACTTATCCAGCGCCTCATGCCACCGCCCGGAACACCATCCTGGGCCTTGAAACCCGTGTCCTGTGGCGACACGGCACCCAGAGAGAATTGAGTCAGACAACGGGACCCACTTCCGAAACAACCTCATAAATGCCAGGGCAGAAGACGACGCCATCAAGTGGGTCTACCACATCCCCTACCACGCACCAGCCTCTGGGAAGATCGAGCACTATAATGGACTGTTAAAAACCACACTGAAAGCACTGGGAGGTGGGACCTTCAAAGACTGGGACATGCGTCTAGGAAAGGCCACCTGGCTAGTCAACACAAGAGGATCTGCCAGTTGAGCTGGCCCGGCTCAGTAGAGACCTCCACGTGCTGTAGAGGGGGATAAAGTCCCTGTGGTGTGCATGAGGAATATATTGGGAAAAATGGTCTGGTTTAGTCCTGCGCCAGGCAAAGGTAAAGGCAAACCCATCCACGGGATTGCTTTTGCCCAAGGACCTGGGTGTGCCTGGTGGGTGATGCAGGACAATGGATAGGTCCGATGTGTACCACAGGGGGACTTGATTCTGGGTGAAAACATGCTGTGAATTATGCTGTGCCTGTGTAAATTATTACTTTGTTATTATTAACTGCTAAATAGCGGCTGGACATGACGCAGATGGTATAGAATAAAGGGGTGGATTATGTCCTGGTTCAGCCAGGATCGAGTAAAGTTTTCCCCAGCAGAGAGAGAGGGGGAAGGGATCTCCAGCCAGGCTATTCATACCATGCTGATGTCAGGTCCAGCGGCGGAACCTTTTCCTTGCTCTTTGGCGGGCTCTGGAGGGAACTTTGCTTTCCGTAAACCAGCTAGCGGTATTTCTCTGTATATCGTTTGTCTTGTTCACTGTTATTGCTGTTTATTGTTGTTACCATTGATATTGTTGTTGTTCAGATTGTTCTATTACTCTGTTGTATTAAATTTCTTGTTATTTTAGCCGGGGTCTGTGTCTAACTTCCAGCCTGACTGGCGTGGAGGGCGGGAGTGGCAACGGAAATGTGCTCTCTCATCACGGCAAGGCTTAAACATTGCACATTATTACCCACGATATACGCCAAGAAAGTTTGTGTTGGTTTAAGCCCTGCCAGGTCCGGAGAGCACATTGTCATTGCCCCTCCCCCACCCTCAGGCACAAGTAGGGCAGAAACCCCGGGTTAAAATAAGAAATTTAATACAACCCTGTAATAAACAAATCTGAAAAACAACAATAAACAGTAATAACAATAAACAAGACAAAAGATATACAGAGAAATACCGCAATGGTTACGGACAGCCCGCCACGTGCTCCCCATCACCAAAGCCACAAAGGAAAAACTTCCCACGCTGCTGCACTGGACCTGACATCAGCATGGTATGAATAACCCAGCTGGAGATCCCTTCCCCCTCTCTGCTGGGGAAACTTAACCCTATCCTAGCTGAACCAGGACACCAACAGAAAAAGACAACCAGTAGGGGAACTGGGATGGCAGGCAAGGTGAATGGACTCAGGAGTGATTGAACAAATTTAAAAACACTTGCTTCACAGGCATGCTTGTGACTTGTCACACAAAGCATTGACAACTGTCAGTGAATAAACTCCACAGAAAACTCCAGCTCTGAGAAGAGTTATTTCTATCACAGTGGAATTCTTTCTGTTTATTTACATGAGTAAGGAATAGCAAGTGCAAGAAATACCCAGGGTGTTATCCTGATCTTGAAACTACTGTTAATTGAAGCATAAAATTACTCAAGTTTTAATTAACAGTGCTAATTTCTTCTCCCTCTTTTTAATAAAGCTATTAAAGACCTATGTGAAAGTCCCCATTTCCTATTAATATAGACGTCTAATCTTAATTTCTAACCTCTAATCTATCCCAATCCTGTAAGTCTGTGAGTTTTCCACAACTACTTTTTTGTACAAACTTGCTAGGGAGATGAGCCCAAATTATGGGCTGTCTCCCTCATGGAGTCTGGAATATACTTGCCATTTACTACCTGATAGACCTATTTTTAAACTTTCTCAGGTGACTATTAACAGGAAACATCAGCAAACAACCCAACCATGTTAGCAGCAGCTGACCCATAAGAAATAAAAATAAAAGACTACTCTGACTCAACAACCTCCACTAAATTCCTCACTCCCCTATGTATTTGCAGGATGGCAAAATGCAGCAGCTGCCATTAAGTGTGAGTGATGTATTATTGTACTGGCCTAATATTTACAAGAAATTCTAACAACTTAGAATATTATAAAACTGCAGATGTTACTTTAGACCACGTCTCATTAACTAATCCAATTTGCTGCAGGTCTCAATGTTTTAGATACTACCATGTAATCTGAAAATATTCACCACCACATAAGATGTCCCCTGCTGCAGCTGAAATAGCTTCATCATCTCTCAGTTTAAATGCTGTCAGGAAGATATTGTTGGAGCTGAAGACACTAGTTACAACCACTGCAATGCTTTCTCTGAAATTCCTGATGTCTTAGTCCTTCAATACCCTGAAACCACAGATAATCTGAATAAGGGCATCAAAAAAAGACATCGCATTATATTATCAAAAGAATATCCATCATGTATTATCTTTTTCTCTATTAGGAATTTCAAGATTAGTGCTAGAATAATTATTTTGTCGCACCTTTATTTCATCTCACACAGTCCCACCTATGCTCCTGCCGCAAGTTCATTAACACTAAGTAACCAACAAACAGAACTTTGTACACAGGCAAGAAAAATCTGTTCTTTCTGGCTGAGCAGAACCTGCATTGGCAAGAAAAATGCAAAACAGACTCACTGCAATATTTCGCCTGTTTTTTTAAAACATTCTTAGCTGCCTGTGTTCTGTGCTAACTTAATGTGATACTCTCCATCCATGTCATAGGATCTGCTTGGCAAACTAGTATATTTTTTTGATAAGAAGATTTATTCACTATTTTATTGTACCTTGACAGTCAGCTTTCCCAAACGCTGTAAAACCCAGATGCGGTGGGACCAGGCATTGTAGTTGCTTGGATATCTTCCAGCAGCTTCAGAGCAGACATTCATTTCCTCCTGCACTAGTTGGTGAATTCTCTCCAGAGGTGCTGCTCCCAAGTTTCCTTTAGTCACAAGACTGGGCAAGGAGTTTTCCTGAATTAGTTGTTGCAGCACCCATCGTCTGGTTAAAGGATGTACATACAGTGTTAATGGTCAGAGAGCAATTTTAACAGGAAAAAGATTTTTCATTTATATAAATAAATCAAACCTTTCTGATATTTCAATTACCTCAATTACATTGTAACTAAATGATAATAGTAAACATAACCATCTGAACTCCTTCCATACTGAAAGCTATGGCTTTATGATCACAGTCCAAAATAATTTAGCTCTAGTTGTATTTGTTCACTCACTGTAAGAGGTCATAGCTACTTACAGCATACTAAACCAGAAAGAAACAGCAAATTTATTAAAAAAAATGCAAGAACTATCTTGCAAGAAAAAAGATTTCTAATGAGCTCCTCTTTCAGAGAATTGTATAGAACTAAAGAATTCAAAATCAAACAGAAAAAAATGATTCAGTAAGAAAAATTTAATTGTGCTTTGTGACTATTTTTTACACTTGTCAGTACTGCATACAGCAAGCCAAATTACTTTCTGCACATCACCAGCAGAAAGTGCAAAAGACTTATGGATTCAAGAGCTGTTAAATATAACCATCCAACTGGTTTTGCTGCTAAACTATACATATTTGTTTTGAAGTGACTGAGATTAACACAGATTCCTACATGGATTTTTAATTTTGCTTTGGACTGACTTTTAATAGCATTTTAGTAGTATTTTCAGATGAGTATTTTGAGAGGTGTTCTCAATGCTGCAGAAAATGTGCATCTGCAGATCCTACACAAAAGGATGCTACAAAAAGGGATCACAGATATGTAGATTTCCAGAGTGGCATGTGTCAAGAGAATTGCAATGGGTCCATGTGGAATATTCTGGAAAGCTAGACATCCTCCAGTCCGTGACACAGGTTTTTCTGTTTTGTACTGGCTCACATAATTTCCAAAACCAATTAACTGCTACTTGCAGAAAGGTGTAACTCCTAGTTAAAAGAAATCAATCAATAAATTAATTTTCTTTAAAAAGATAATTCTATTTTGCAATTCACATATAAATAAAAAAACAGGTAAGCCAACCCCTATTAACAAAAATATTTGATAACCCATTTGCTTTTTCTCTAATTTGGAAACAAATATAATATTCTTGTTTATTTTTTTTTCATTTACACTGCCTTTTTCTCTTAGGTATTCTAAAAAATATTTAAACTACTGGAACACAATATTAAAGATAATTTATAAGAATGCAATTTTTAAACTGACTGAATTTCTCAGCAGAAATCACAAGCAGTAGACTGAAGCCAGTGTTCATACCCTAGCTTTCTATATAACATTTGTTTTAACTAAGGGTGTACAGCCAAATACACCATGCTCTTTGTTGTGTAACTTCCTTTTATGAAATGCAGTAATTTTGAAGACTTAATTTTCGCTTTTTAAAAATGTGTTTGATCCAAACATCACCATCCAGTAATTTTTCACTTCAATCAGCATATTTGCAAGAAATGGGAAATTCCAAAAATGTCTGGGCATGAAAGCTAAATGAGTAGACATTCCTTTAACAAAAGATAAATATTACCTCATTAACGTTGTCTTCTGAGTAAAACCATAATTTTAGGATCAAAAATAATTAGACTATTTCAGTTTCTTAAAATTATTTTTAAAAATAATGAATTCAGGTAAATGATATATACAGGAACGTGTGGAAAAAATACAGACTTTATAGTCTCCGTGGCTATAACAAAAGCAAAAAAATTTATAAACTGAAGATGAGCTACCTTCTAGACTTTCTGCATGGGAGGAAGACAGACAAGCACAACCTTAGATGTATAGATTTAAAATGTATTTTTGGTACTCATGAATATAATGGTATTATTTTGGAGGTTTTTATAAGAACATTTTCTCCAATAAATTTGAAGGGAAAAAAAAATCTGATTTCTTCTGTCACTGTATGCATGTTCCTATTGCTATTACTACTGCTGTTCCTGGAATCACTGCAAATGAACAGTTATTCAGTGACAACTGTGCAATCAATAGATACACTGACTCTATATGCACATGACCTACCCAACCCCCCCCAAAATGTACAGCAAAAGAGCCGTATGGCAAAATTTCAATATCTCTATTTTTTTAGTATTTTGATATGTTTAGTGAGTGTATTTGCCATATGTAAGAAAAAAAACAAGATGTTTTACTGATTTTTATAATTGCTCCATTCTACTTTTTTGCACTTCTGTCTGAAATTTGGTGTCATGGGAGAACAGAAAGGACAAAATCAACCACTATGCTGATGCAGAAATAAAATTCTTGCACGTGTTATTTCTGACTTGTATCAGTCAGTCAGCACATCCAACTCCAAGCCAAACATCTGTACAGTCAGCCTCAAGTATACTTTTCTGTTTTAAGCAAATATGAAAAAGAACACCACCACCAAAATACTCCTAATTTAAGATTGCATAAAAGTTATAAAAATAATAAAAAATTCTGTCTAAGATGTACATAAATATTAAGAACCTACCATTCTGACTAATTTAATAAAAATGTGTTGATCATCATAATGATATGTATGGCACCACGTTCAGCACTAGTTACATGCAAAAAATGGTCTTCCAGTGTTTGTTACCACATAGGAAAGGCTAAACCAGGACAAAGTGCAAGATTTTTTGCCATGGTTTCTAAATACTCCTTTTGCTTCAAATCAAGCAGCATAAGTCAGTAGCATGGAGACGATGAAAAGAAGTTGAAGAACAACAAATTCAAAACCAACATTACAAAAATTCATCATTGTTTTTGCTCTATCAGTGCTACTAAGAAAGAACTTAAGAGAAATTATGGAGATGATTATAAGTTAAGAAACACCTAGGAATATTCCATGTATTACATTCTAGGTTAACAGAGAATTTTAAGCTCATGCACTCAAAGAACGGTGTATGAGTTTAAAAGCAAGGAACAACTCCCTCTTCCAAAATTTCATATTATCAATATGACTGATGCATTATTTATGGATAGAGTATTAGTTCCCTAAGGGGGTATCAACTTTACAGTTGTCCTAATGCTGGCCATGTGAAATGCAAACATTGTGAGCTGCTTTCTAATGTGTTACATTCAAATCTCTTTATATAAAAGGATGAGCTATGCTGTGAAAAACACATCATGAAAACAGTCACACACCTACCAAAGTTTGTTTTGGTTTTTTTTTTTCAAAGAAAGTTGAGCAATGGATCTATACTTCACTTGGCTGTGCTACAGACATTTAAATACAGTCAGGCATGACTGAGAAATTTAGCTTTGTGCATTTGAGTAACTCTGGAGTTATCTTTTCCAAAAGTGCACTCTTATTTTAATATTTAGTAGCAGTGACTTAATGGCATTACTTAAGTTAGAAATTATAAAAATAAATTCACCAAACCAGGAAGACCAGCACTGGAAAAGAATCCAGTTTTGGTTATAAACATTAGCTTTTACAGATCCTTGCCTTTCCGATATGCCTGTAGACAAGCAATATAACAGTAAGTTGGAGGAGGAGAAGAGGGAGAAACCCACAATGCTCAAATACTTACTACTGATGGAATGAGAATTCTCAGGCTGAGAATTTTAGGTGCTGTTAAGACATGATAAAGTTTTACAAAAGTTCTCTCACCTCCAAAGTTTATTTTAAAAATATGCAGCAAAAAAGATGTGTATTTTAGTTCTAAGTTGAAAATACAGGCAGGTAACTCCAAAAGCACAGTACTTTACAATGACTGGTTCAAAGAGTCTGCTATATCTTCAGATGTCCTCTTTCATTTATGGCTTTCCTTAACCCAAGCACAAGGAAAAAAAAGCCCTAGGAAAAAGGTTTAAGTTTGGTGAGGCAACAGAAGGCAAGGGAAACAAACCTATGAATCCATGTTTCTGGACTCTTTGGAAACTTGGTTAACGCCAGTTTTCCAAGATGCAAATCTTTAAGTGGATTTAAAGTGCCAGACAGTATTAATTCTTTCCTACAAAAGATAAAATAAATTTGTATGAATAAAAGTAGTAACCTGAAAACAGAAACAAATCCCAGTAACAAACAGCACAGTATTTCCTCTGTACCATGACAGAACTTCACTGTCAAACTACATGAGTTTAGATGGTGATTAACCCATTCTACACTGATACATATATAAATGCACACTCTGTTCAAGGGTTTGTATATATGCGCACCCTTTGATACAATGGCTGCCAATAGGGTTACATATATGATTAAACCATTCCTTCCTGAAATTAAGCCTTTAGATCATCTGAAAATACAGTTACTCTTCCACCCAGCCTCTCACACCCTTACTTTAAGTTTTTAAATATGGCTCAAGATAGAGTATCAAGGATCCTTAAATTTAGAATGAAGTGGGAAATACTCTGTTTGCATAGACGGTTCTCAAACTTAACAAAAAGGCTGAAATTGCTAAATTTATTTATGTGTAAACCAACTTCTGGTTTTAAAAAAAAAAAAGTACTTGCTCTAACAAAACTTAATGTTCATCCAGTGTAACCATTCCCATAGTACCTCCAACACAGAGCAAAGTGAAATCCTGTATTTATCTTTCTTGCCTTCTTTGCACAGAATTACCTGCCCGACACTCTATTATTTTTTCTAGCTTTATAACTCTTACTACCTGTTCCAAGCACGTTTGTAGACATCACCCCATCACCAGTTACACCCAGGACATCAGTCTCCATATCTTATTCTCCAATCTAGGAGATAGTGGCTTTGAAGTAAAGATAGAGTAAGTTCCAAAGTTACCATTTACAGATAGGAAATTTGCATTTCCTAGAACCTCCAGAAGTCATAATAAAAAACAGAGTGAAAAAAATACAAGCAATTCTGGCATGGGTTTGATGTTTTGTGTTGGGGGCAGGAGGGGTGTGTGTTTTTATTTCGTTTTGATTTTTTTTTAAAGTAGTTTATCATTCATCATAATGATACACATGGCATCAGGTTCAACACAAGGAGCACTAGTAGATGAAGAACAGTGATCAATTTTCTGACCGAAAAAAAATAGAGGCAGGGGAGGAAGGGGACAGGGAAGAAAATCACTCTGAAAAAACCTGCTATCTAGTAAGAAGGTAAAACTTCTCTGCAGTCTGACACAGAACACATAATACTGTTTTAAACTTATGGCCCAAGTCTCACAAACAAATTGATATATCCTTTAGTGTGAGCCCTTACTGTCATTTTCTGACGGTTTTGGAAGTTTTCAGTAGGAAATTGACTTTACTTGGTACATTGGCTTTGTGCTTCTTTAATTGAACTGCATACCCACAGTCAGAGGCTACTGGTGGCAACAGTAACAGCAAGTAACGTATTATTTAAAATTCAAGAAAAATGGCAAGACATATCTAGGCACTAGTCTAGACCCTTCTTTTGCTACTGAACCAACAGTTGAACAAATCTTTAAGGAAGTTTTGCCTCTGGTATCTTGTGAAGTCAGAAAAGAATTGTCTGCAGAGATCAGAAACAGCTACTGGGACATTTGTTTTTATCTGAATCAAGTCCCAGCATGCTTCAGATTGGATGTTTTTATCAGGCACTCAGTAGGAAATCCATGTATACAAGCTAGGAGCAAGCAGACTAACCAGACTGTTCAGTGCCAGTGTGTTGACCTTTGCAAAGCAGCCAAAAGAAAGATTCAGAGAATGTCAACGTATTTTAACAAAGATTAGATTACCAAGCCACCTACCTCCCAAACCTAAACTCTTGGTGAAGAAATTGCTCTTTCTGTATTAAAGCATTGATTGTAAGTAAGTAGGCTCACACATATTTAGTCTTCAAGTAAATTTACTCTTGCAAAGTTGCGGAACATTACAGACAACATCTACTTTCACTGCTGTGGTAAGGAAGCAATTTTTAGCTTCATAGACTTCCAAATGAGACATCCTCCCATTCACAAGTAAGGGACTTCAATCACAAGTATGACTAAAGTATCATATACTTCCAAATAAATTCCTTTCAAGCTCTTTCAGCAAACATCCAACTTGGGATATATAATTTCTAACTCACTTTTTTGCCATATAGAACATACAAAATTTTTCAGCCTTCAGATTCTAGCTCCCATAAAAGACAATCTGAAATTATTTTGACTTGCCTTATGTTTTTGTTGACACCTTTGAAGTAACTGATATCTGATAGGAAATTGACTTGTCAGAGCATCTTGTGTCTACCTAATGTCTTTTGACTTTTGATCAATTGTGCTTGCCAGTAAATATACCAGCACGAACAAAACCACCTATGACAATTCCTTTACAATCATGTACATAAAGATTTTGCTCATTTCAACTAGGAAGATTTTTCAACTTCTAAAAACACAGGATAACTGAAATTAGGATTACTATCTGGAGATGTCTTGTTGCCCATTCAGTATAAAAGGGATTTCCCTCTGAGTTCTAAGAGCGCATCTCCTATTCTTTAGCATGCTTTCCTACATACCATACAATTAGCTCTTTCTCAGTTCTTAAAGTTTAGGTTATAGTCCCTGCCCTTCTGTAGCTTCCCAGACACTTCTAATTTAAATAAAAGACAAGCCTATGCAGGAATATTACAATTGTTTGGAAGAGCTCCAAAGCCAAGATAGATTATTCATCTCTTCCTAGCAGCTAACACATTTGAAGTTTTATGTTCTCCTGTATTTCATTAACCAGATAGACCCTTCTATGATTGTCAGCTGGGCTGAAACGCTAATTAGTCTTCCACACTGCCACTCCAGTCTTCCTGTTCTGCCAAATCCTGTCTCCCTTCCAAAGAAGAGCTTTCCTTTTCCCACTCTCAGACAACCCTTTTCCACTATCTTCAAATTCAGTGCTATTGACTCAACTAGTATCTGAAGAAATCTCAGCAGAGAATTCAGCACAGGAAAAAGGGACTAAACTACAGCTTAAAGAGTGATTAAATTCTACAGGAAACACCATGTGCAGGGCTGCTATTCTGTAAATAACTATTACACTTTTTTATTTTTCAGGCTATTTAGAGTCTATGATGCTTTTTTGCCTTAAAATAAAGCAGTGACTTTGTGTGTGGAGAACATAAATGAATCTGGTGCGACAAACATCTGAGCAAAATGAAAACAATCATCCCACGGCAGATCCATCATGCTCTGGAAGCAGAGTGCAAATCCCACACAATTAGTTCTCCGTTTATACTAGCTCACAAAAAGGATTTACCTCCAACATCTGTGCAGAACACAGTCTGTCCTCTACTCTGTGACTATATGCCATACATTTGGCTAGCTTTGACCTGTAATTTACTGAAAAGAAGAGAAGCTCAAATGTTGTGCCAATTAAGTGCTGACTCTTCAAAAGGACAAACTCTCAGCAGTGCCTAAAATAGTGTAGGGTCAGATTGAGCGAAGTGGTCCTCTGGCTAGAGCAGGCTCAGTGGTAAACTCCACAGCTACTGTCTGACTTGTAAAACAACATCTTCTCTCTGCATGCTAAATGGAGCTTCAAAGACAGACCAAAAAGAATCTGTGGAGCAAGGCCACCTTCTGTAGTAATTTGTATTACTCTGGTAAAACATAAACAGCATAAAGAAAGCAATCCTCATCCGTATTGCTTAACATTTTTAACTCCTTACAACTTTGAACTACTCATCTCATTTACATAAGAGCAAACTCTCTCAGCTGTCAGGCAGAAAAAAAGCCAGACTCATAAGCATGGATGCACTTGCATTAAAAAAATTTCTACAAAACCCAAATCAAAAAACCTGAATTCAGATTTAAGTACCACAAGATTACATTATTGTAGTAGCTCTAGTACTTATAAATGCTCATAATTCCATTTTATCACTTGAAAGCTACTCAAGCTATATATTTGCATGATAGTAAGCCTTCATTTTCACTTTAATTCCCCTTTCTTAGATCTGAGATGCTAGAATGATACAGATCACAGCAGAATCCTTCAGAACTACATCAGGAGTGAAAGGAGAAAAAAAAACACCAAACCAAACAACAAACTGAATTTGCCATATCTAGTGCTGACAGCTACCCGCAGACATCATCTTTCCAGGTCACTTAGTTAATTTTTCCTATTGCAATAATTCATCTTAACTAAGTCCTACTTTTAATGAGACCTCCTAGACACTAAGGTATAATTTCCTGTCAGCCCTCCAGCCCTTCTAAAAATACTTCTTTAAAACTATCTCCAATCTTGCCTAGGCAGCAGAGAGTATCCCCCCACTTCTAAAATTTACATAAAAATTATCAGATTACATGGTTTGTAAAGAACCATTGCTTCTGGGGTCCATTAAGGGCCAAGGAGGTAAATTCCTGCTCCTCCCCCATAACGACTCCTGGACAGGTGCTGCAGAATGACCAACAATGAAGTCAGACTAATCCCAGCAGGAACAAGAAAGTAGAAGGGTGTGGGAGAATGTGTCCAGACTAAAGGACAGTCGTCTGCCTCTCCTCCTGCAATGTTACCTATTGAAGACTATCTAGCTTTGATAAGCTGCACTGGTAATAACAGCAAATTTAATTTATCTCAAAAGAACTTGGGTATAACATTCAGAGGGGTGAAACGAAAACAGTGAAGACAAGCAGCAGACATCAGTTAGGCATTATGTGATTCAGAGAACAGGATATACCCGAATGTGGCGGTTTAGGCCCTGCCAGGACCTGAGACCACATTGTCACTGGCACCTCGGACCAGAGGGCGCAAGGAGTGAGATATAAATCCCAAGGTTGAAATAAGGAAAAATTTAATATAACAGTGCAACAACAACAACAAACTGAACAACGATAACAATACAGTAATAACAATGAACAGAACAAGAGATATACCGCGCGGATATAGCAAGCAAGGGTACCAGTGTGTTGGTTTAAGCCCTGCCGGGACAGGAGACCATGTTGTTGTTGTCCCCCGCCACCAGACACAAGTAGGGCACAAACCCCAGGTTAAAATAAGAAGAAATTTAATACAACAGTGTAATAAGCAATCTGAACAACAACAGTAACAATGATAACAACAA